TTTGTGTGTTGACCTTGTATCCAGCTACTTTACTGAATTTGGTTATTAAGTCTAGAAGACTTTTGGTGGAGTTCTTGGGGTCTTTGATATAGAGTGTTATGTCATCGGCAAATAATGACAACTTGACTTCTTCATTTCCTATCTTTATTCCTTTTATTTCTTTCTTTTGTCTAATTGCTGTGGCTAATGTTTCCAAGACTATATTGAACAGGAGTGGTGATAGTGGACATTGTTGTCTTGTTCCTGATTTTAGTGTGAAGGATTTCAGTTTTCAGCAATTAAGCATAATATTGACTGTTGGTTTTTCATAGATGGCTTTATCAGATTGAGGTAGAGACCATTGATTCCAATTTTTTGTAGGGTTTTTATCATAAATGCATGTTGGATTTTGTCCAATGGTTTTTCTGCATTTATTGAGATGATCATATGGTTTTTGTCCTTGGCTCTATTAATATAGTGTAATATATTTATTGATTTGCATATGTTGAACCATCCCTGCATCCCTGGGATGAATCCCACTTGGTCAGGGTGTAGGATCTTCTGCATTCTATTTCCCAGTATCTTATTAAGGATTTTTGCATCCATGTTCATTAGTGAGATTGGCCTATATTTCTCTTTTTTGGTTGGGTCTTTCTCTGCTTTGGGGATCAAGGTGATGCTTGCTTCCAGGAATAATTTGGGTGTATTGCTTCCCTTTCAATTTCATTGAAGAGTTTAAACAGTAGTGGCAATAGTTCCTCTCTAAATGTCTTGTAGAATTCATCAGTGAAGCCATCAGGACTCAGGCTTTTCTTAGTTGGTACGTTTTAAATTATATTTTCAATTTAATTGATTGATATTGGGTTGTTTAGAATTTTTAGGTCTTCTTCATTTGACTTTGATAATTCATGCATATCTAGGAATCTGTCCATTTCTTCTGTGTTTTCCATCTTATTGGCATATAGGTTCTCAAAGTAGGTATTGATGGTCCTCTGTATTTCTGCTGGGTCTGTTGTAATTTCATCCTTTTCATTCCCAATTGCATGGATTTGGGCCTTTTCTTTCCTTTTTGTAATAAGTTTGGCTAAGGGTTTGTCAATTTTGTTTATTCTTTTGAAGAACCAACTCTTGGCTTCATTGACTTTTTGTATCATTCTCTTAGTCTCCATTGCATTGATTTCTGCTCAGATCTTTATCATTTCCTCCCTTGTATAAGCTTTGGGTTTGTCCTGCTCTTCTTTTTCTAGAAGCTTGGGGTTCAGCATCAGGTTTTGTAATTGAGCTAACTCTGTTTTCCCCATGTGAGTATTCACTGCTTGAATTTTCCTCATAAGACTGCTTTCATTGTGCCCCATATATTCTGATATTTTGTATTTTCATTGTCATTGAGTTGTAGGAACTATGTGATTTCTTCTTTAATTTCTTCTATGACCCATTCGTTACTCAGAAGTGTGTTGTTCTGATATGGAAAAGTTTTAGATAACTTAATAGATTGAATATTAAAGTAGTTGTAGAAACAAAATAAGTAATGTGTTCTTTTAAGATTTACTTTTCCTGTAACTCCTTGTTTAAGGTAATGATTATTTGACTCTAACTGGTAACTTCATTAACCTAACAAAGTTACCAAGCCATGGTGAATTTACAATGTATATGTGCCTATCTTGTGTCTGTGACTTGTAAATAGGAATTGGAATTGTATTTACACATCAAAGGGATGTGTAAATCTAGGGATGAGACAATGGCTAAAAAGGATATAAAAAGGGAAAGGGTGAAAAAAGCGGGTGTGGATACTGACCAGACTGGTTTCTGGTGTTCCGTCTGCTCGCGAGAAGAAATTTTATTATTTTATCTGAATTCTGTGTCTCTGTGTATTTCTTTCCAAGATTTCCATAACATTTGGTGCGTTGGCTGGGAATCAGGAATGAAATAGCTCTTTTGGACATCATCCCGAACCCCACCGGAGGGAGTGGCTCTCTGTCTCCTGGAGAGGAAAGGCGCACCCCTGGGACTAATTTCCTAGGCTCCCCGACAGGACACAGGGATCTGCTCACTGGGCAGAGGATCACGTGAACCCAGGGGACTACAGAAGGAGGACTGCTGTTCTTGGTGTCTTGTCTGTCTCTTTCCTTTGCTGGGTGAGAAACCCTGGGAAACCCCCTAGTCATTAACTTTCAGTTTCGCCTTGTGAATTTGTATTCTGTAACTTTGGGCAAATACAGCACAGGGGCCTGATCACCCCTTGTGGTTTGCCATTTGGGGAGGTAGCTTCTTTCATTTGTTTTGGTTATGGTTAGGGGATCACCGGGAGGGAATGTGTTCTGAATAAATGTGTGAGTGAAAGAGTTCTGGATAGGAGTGTGTGAAATGAGCTGCAGAACAAGACAGAGGGAGGAAGCACTTACACTTGAAGAGTCCTCCCTGAGTCACAGAATTTGTGTGTGGTCTCGTTTAACAAAGGCACAATGGTGAGCTTAGGCAACAGCTCACCATAGCCTGAATGGACCTTAAAATGGCCAAGAAGCCCACAGCCAGGTAGGTGAGCGAGTGATTCCCCCACCTTTGTTTGTCTTGCGTCTCTGTTCAAAGGTACCCACACACACACCAACACTCTGATCGGTCTATTGTGGTGACAGAAGCATCTTGTCCTACTGTTTTGGAATGCATGCTTAAGAATTTTAAGAAAGGTTTTACTGGAAATTATGCTATTAAGATGAAACCCCCAAACCCAGAACTTTATGTGAGTTAGAATGGCCCAAGCTTTGCCTAGCTTGGCCAACTGAGAGAATCCTAGGTGAGGGTCTCATCTGGTCCATCTGGCTAACAGTCACTGCCCCTGGATGGGAACATCCAGATCAATTTCCCTATATTGATTTATGGCTCAAATTGTGCCACAGAATGCCTCCTTGGCTTCATATGTGCACCCTGGAAGCAAAAAGCAACATCCTGGTCCTCTGCCAGAAAGGGGACGATGCTGAAAAGTAACCAGTTCTTTCAGATCAGGACCAAGAGAATTTAGACTTTCCCCCTGTTTTTGAGTTGCTAAATTCACAGGTTGGAGGAGGTGGGAACAAAAACATGAAAACTGCTTGGCTTCAGAGCACCATGCTGTGGTCAGACTCAGAGAGGATCAAATAGGGCTTATACTCAAATTTTAAAAATTAGTAAGAAAAAATAAGTAATGGATTAAAAACAGCTAAAAAAAGCTCTGAAGGACATAAAACCAGAGAAAGTAAGAAATTTTACAAGGGTTACAAATTTTAGCTAATTGATAAATGTATCTGTGTTTGTTTGAAAAGTTACAAGTTTTAGTTAATTGATAAATGTATCTGTGTTTCAGCTTGAAAAGTTAGAAATTTTAGTTAATTGATAAATGTATTTGTGTTTCAGTTTGAGTTGATGTTTAATTGGTGTGCTTAAAGTATTGTACATTGCAAATTCTTCAATTGTAATTATAAGGTTAACTTGCTCTTTTCTGTACTTTGTTGATTAAAAAAAACCCTTAAGGTTACTACCATTCTATTGGC